CCACAACAGGAATGGACCCCAAGGCTAAGCGCTTTCTGTGGAACTGCATCCTCAGTGTCATCAAAGAAGGCAGAGCGGTCATTCTCACATCTCACAGGTATGGGGCATAATTCGACCATAAAACATTAGCCTGACTAATCAGTTCTCTTTTTTTCACACAGTTGGGGACACCAGAACCTAGCAGACATGTTATGGATTTCTAATAAACTGTTAAAGTATTAACCAAACCTTGGTTTCACAGAGACTTTGTCAGATTAACTCAACTTTAAACCATTAATACCTGGACACTACATGTATATTGTGTGATCACAGGAAATCTTTGAAGTTTGTAGAACTGGATTTCACCTTCCAGGAGATTGTTTGATACTGCATACAGAGCAGCATTGCCGTCTGTAATGAGTGCTGTTTTCAGGGATATAGGAACAGTGGGTCGATGCCAATATCTGGTATTTTTCATCTACTTATCCGTTGATACCGATACATATGCCACACAATGCAGTAAAAATAATCAAATGCAAATGTTTCAGCCCAGAGATCCAGTGTTGTCTAAAAGTTCTGTTTTTATGGAGTACGATAAATATGTCATCAAATATTAGTTTGTAATATTGGCTAAATCTTTATTGTGTATCACTATTCTTTTTTATGTGCAGCATGGAAGAGTGTGAGGCACTCTGCACTCGAATGGCCATTATGGTCAACGGCGGGTTCCGGTGCCTTGGTTCAGTGCAGCACCTCAAGAACAGGTACCATCTGAAAATGTATTAGAAAATCTCATTTTATTCACAAATTCTTACAAAAATAATAACAAACATATATATTTAGGCTTTTTAAATACATAATCATCGTTATCAGCATAATCCTCATTCATTTTTAAGTTTCATATGATTAGTAGCAAATGTGAAATGAACAGCCAAGGTGTCTGCTGTCATATTTTGAATGATTATGTTTAACCTCCTTATGTTCTTTACTTTACAACAGGTTTGGAGATGGCTACACTATTATGCTTCGCTTGTCAGCACCCACAAAAGAACCCTGCCCAGTGGATGCCTACATCAAGAACTCCTTCCCTGGAATAGAACTAAAAGAGAGACACCACAACGTTCTGCAGTATCAGCTGCCATCTCATGCCTGCTCCCTTGCTCGTGTGTTTGATGTTCTGTCAAACAACTATGAAGAGCTGGGAATAGCAGACTATTCCATTTCTCAGACCACACTGGACCAGGTTAGAAAATGATGGTTACCTTAACGCATAAAAAGTAAATGCACTGACTGTAAATGAAGATTTAAGAAAAACAAGGCTAAACATGAGATGTTCCTCCACCGCAGGTATTTGTCAACTTTGCCAAGGAGCAGACGGATGAGGATGACCAGCTAACAGGAGTAGGTGTAAATGGTGGATTGGTGGGAGCTCAAACCTGCAGACCTCAGCCATCCAGAAGAAGTGTCCAACCTCAAACAACCACTCAACTAGTCCGATCTACACCGTCTCCTGAATCCAGCAGGTCACCCTCCCCAGCCAGGACAGCTCAGCCCTCTCGTTCCCCATCATCAAGCAAATCCACTCAGCCAAGAGCTGGAGGTTCAAAGAACAAAGAAGGCAAACACAGTAGGTCATCAGAAGCAAAGCAACTTCAGCAGATACAAATGCAGCCAGCGTTGGAGTCTTCAATCAATGGCCCAAAGCCCACACGAGAAGAGAGCTCTAGAAGCAAAGACCCTGCCAAGCTTTTTCTTGTGAAGCCCAAAACACAGGACAGCAAGATGTGAGCCGGTTACAGGCTGTTCAAAGAAGAAGAGCAAACTGATGAATAACAGAAGTGTTGGAGAAAAATGAAATCATTATTCCCCATCTTTTTTGACATATATGTACAATCAGCCTTGTTTTTGGTCAGCGTGCATGTAAATTTAGGCATGATAACTTACCTGAAAATTGCAGCTAAATCGTAATCATAATCATCAATTCCATAATAATGACAACAAAATAAAATGTATGGTAAATGTGCAAATGGAAATCGTTGCACTGGTAATAGTCGGTAATGCATTTACAATACTGTCAACATTCATAAATGTGAACTGGAATTTGGATCCTTAGTCCTTCACTTCAGTAGTACGTAAAAGAAACAAACCCTGGAGGGTCCGGCACTCAATCGTGGAAGATTTATTAGTCCAAGAAGACTGGAAGTATTCTTTGAAGTATTCTGTGACCGGGTGTATTCTTTTATGGATGGCTTATAAGCCTGCTGAATGCTTTCCTGGTTGTTAATACTCCTTGTCCTTTGTGTGGTGCCTTGTTCTATCCTACAAAATTGAATGCTGTTACCTTAAAAGCCTTTAAAATTCAGGCATCTCAGTTCAGCAGCTCTCTGTGTATTTTTTGTTTTGCTTAATTTGAAAACTTGAATTTTGATTGGTTGTTTTCCTCAAGCTACAGAGCAATCTACAGAACATTTCTCAGGATCCCTCTATAAAAGGCTTACAATCTGCAAACATCTTCATGGTGTTAGTTGCATTTTACAAGTGTATGTCTTCTGCAGTTCCATGTGGAGACAAATCATACTTTTTATTTGAAGTTTGTGATGCAATTTCATAAGTTCTCTGCATCTGTCTGAACGGCAGAAGTGCAGACGAGGTACTACACCCAAACACTGCCTTTTATTAGGTCAACCTTTTTGTATTTCTCTTTTTGAATGGTTTTAGACATGTTTTTACTTTGTTGCACTTTAGGATGAACGTAGCTGTAAATCCAAAGTTATGCATATCACTGGACGCTTGATGCACTTTAGAAACTGTCTGATATGTGCTGTATAATTAGATTTGTTTATGTATTCACTGTGGTTGGTATGGTTATGCACTTGAATATAGATGTGCACGTCCTTCTGTTATTTATGTATGATTATCTATTTAAATATATACTATAATTATATATTTAAAATATAAAATATATGGTAATAAAAATATACACTGAACACAGGCATGATGTCTTGTGTGTTTTGAATAGATTTACTGGAAAAGTACCGTAATTGGTGTGCTGACGTTGATATTCACAGGGAAAAAATATTTATATATGTTTGTAAATGTTTCTATTATTTAATTGCAAACAGTAACTTTTTTAACTTGACATGTCTCTCAATTGCTCTTAAGAATTTGCTATAAGAACATTGAAGATGGTGCCTGTAGAAACAAAACGCAAGTGCATAAGTTGGAAAAAGGCCTGGAAATGTCCACAACCAAACAGGCAAATGACAGTCTGATGATATAGATTTTGTTTTCTTTTGTAGTTTACCTATGGGTGAGGTGATTTACTGAAATCATTATGGTCAACACTTTAACAGCTAGAAAGATAAAAATATTAAAAATACTTTTAGGATTATTTTTCCAAGGCAATTTCTGTTTAAAGTGCTCGAAAAGAGCTGTCTGGCAGCAGCGGTGGGAACAGAGTGACTCTCACTGACAACAGCAGTCATGCTTCAATCTCTTTGAGCACTCCTAGCAGGACAAGTACAATTGCTCAGCAATTTTTGCTGCCATTGATGTGGTCACCCTGACCCTGTCTGAGCAAGACTGTTAATGTCACCCCTAAAACACTTTCGTACAGTCTGCAGACTGCTGACTGCTGTGCTTTCAGGGTACAGGGATGTGCATTTAGTCCAGACACTTTTTGCTTTATTGCAGAATCATAGTTTGTCTCAGATATGGAAAATGAGTATTATTTAGAATCGTATCGGAATTTTTACAATAATAATAATGATGATATTTGTAATTTTACATTTATTATTAACTATTGATATTTAATATTACTAAGCCAAGGCTACTAATCACTAGTTGATCACAGATACTTTTCCACAGGGGAGACATTACTGAGAACATTAGAACATTATTGATTTTTCTTCTTTTCTATCACTTGAACAGTCAACTTCCCCATCCAGCTGAACTAATGAGATATACTGCACATGGCACAGCTAGGACTCAAAACTCCAGATGTGCACTGCTCCTACCAGGTGTGTATTTAAGTAATTTGAGCTTTTAATCCAGTGATTTGATATAAGAAATTCACTTTGAACAAGATGTTATAATAGTGAAAAATTTAATTTTATATGTTAAAAAATCTAATTCTAACATGTCAAAATTCAGATTGTACTGCAGGCAAGGTGTGAATACAGGGTTGTCCTGGGGTCAGGGACAATTAACCTTTTAATTCTAATTAACCTCTTGGACCCCCTGAATATCTCAAAATTAAAATTCAGGGGAGGGCCAACGCTGGAGAAGCCAGCCAACATGGGACCCCCCCGAATACATATTATTCCAGTTCTTTGTAATGTTAGAAATAATACTTGAAGTATGACTTTCACAGGCAAAAAATAAATTTTTACATGTTTAAATTCTAACTATAACATGATCAACCTGATTTTTAGTGAAAATGTAACTTTCATGTGCAGATTTAGTTTTTATATGTAAGAACAGAAAGTTTTACCTTTTAATTAAAATTTTTCAAAAGTCAGTTTTTATCATTTTATCATGTCAGATTTAATTTCTCGCTAGAATAATGAATGAGTTCTCAGTTCTTTTTAATAGAAGGAACAAATTTAAGGATTTATTTTTCCTTTTATAACAACTCAACTCAATGTGTAACACTTCAATTTTAAAAATTAAATTACCACATGTAAGATTTGGTTCATACTGTAAAAACTGTTCCTCCCATTAAAATGAATTTAGAAAACCCATGAACTTTTCCTAGAAAGATGAAATCTTACATGAATGAAAAGAACAAATTTGACACTTTACACCTTTTTCATGTCAGATTCCATATTGTAACTGGTACTAAAAAACACTGAATTAGTGTAAAAACTGCGGATTAAAGGCTAAATCTGCTTTCCCCAGGCGAATCTTCAGCGGGGAGTTAAACTGTTTTAAGTTCTTGTCTTATTTAAAATCTTAAAACAACCATGAAAACAGTCGTTCGGCTGTTCTGACAGCTCAGTCAGTCTGACGGGCCATTTAAATGTACAGCGCCGCGCCTCGAATCCGCGTCAACAAACAAACCGGCGGAACAGAGGCTCTCAGGGCTGCTCCTGCTAGCTCGCTGGCTGGTTGCATCAGCTAAAGCTAACCTTAGCATCTGAGGCAGCCTCTCCCTGCAGGACGTCCTTCAGACTTATTTATTAACGTCATATTGTTTAGCTGGAAGGCCGCAATATGGTTGTACTTAATAGTAACAACGGCAGCAGCAACGAAGAACAAGATGTAATGTGAGTAGCTAATGTTAGTTATTAATGTCTGGGTTGTGTATTTAACGCCGACTGGCTAGCTGGGGTCGGAGGCGTTTTCTTTGTTGTTAGATAGACACAAAGACAAGTTCATATAACTTATTGTTTATATCGGTGTGTCTAACGTTAGTTCTTGCTCAGCTAGGCGCGGGTTAATATCAGTTATGTGAACATTTCCAGCCTGGATTTAGTAACCTAGCTAAACTGGGTAAATAGCTATCTAGCGAACTGTTAGCCATGATTTAAGGCGCTGTAGTTGCTGCAGCTAATAACCCGTTATGAGCTGTTTTGGGTCTGACTAAACATTTAACCTATCGTGGTAGGTTAAGTTACCTATCTAGATAAGGAGACGTGTCAGTGTCACGTTACCTCAGCCAAAAAGGGGTTTTAAATCAGAAATGTCGACACTTAGCTACCCTAGCTAACAAGCTAACGCTAGAGAAAGAAACAACCCAGCCGTCAGACGTGTTTTTAATTAGTTAGCTAACGTTGCTTAATTAAGTTAACCGCTAGCTAACTAACTGGTAACTGGTACGCTAAATGGTAACATAGCCAACAGTTTGACTTGCTGAGGGTTTTTAACTTAAAAATGATGGTTGATGGTCACCGTTTGTTGTCCTACAGGGACCCCAGCCTTCAAAACAAAACAGGTCAAATCATAGAAATGAACTAATTAACTTATCTCAGGCTAATTCTCAAACCGAGCTAACATAGACAGCTTGTTTGCTGAGGTGTTGACAGATGTCAATTCTAGTCTTAATGCTGAAGCACTTCAAGTCTCTGTTGATCACATTTGTCAAACCTAAAGCTCCTGCCCCATTTATTCAGCTCTACATTGAGCCCGAGGCCAGAGCTAAAAATACACCATGTTAGTCCAAGGCTCTGTCGACCATAAACAGAGGAAAGTAGGTTAGTGTTTTACAGAGCGAGCAGTTTTATGTGGAGAGAAATTTGTGCCAAATTCAAGTGCGATCACTACAGTATGGTGCACACATGACATTACTTTCCACAGAAAAGCAATACATGAGGATCTTACATTTGAAAAACAGATTGCTGAATTGGTGTCAGAATTGAAAATGATCCACCTAAATGTATTCAGCACACAGATATATTGCTTTCCAGTGTGCAGTACTTGAAACAACATTAAATCAATGTAATGGATCTTTGGCCTGTGTTCTGCAAGTCACTGTATAAATGCAATCTCATGTATGCATCACATTCACTTTTTTTCACTGTAATGATTGAATTTTAAAGAGGCATAGATATTTGAACTGCTGCACAGTGGAAACCACTATAGCTGTGTATTGATTACATTTGGAGGTGAACTGTATTAATTTCCGACCTAAATTCAACATTTTGTTTTTCTAAATAAAAATTCTCATGTATTGTTTTTTTTTAATAGGTTAAGCAACACAAAAATAATGAAATAGAGGTTTTGCTTTTTCATTTGAACATTCTGCATGTCACTATGGGAAAGTAATGTTGTGTGTATTGCACTTCACATTTTTCCAGTGTAGTGACTGCGTTTTAATTTGGCATCAATTTTTAGCCATAATTTTACCCAAGCAGTGCGATTTAAATACATTCCATTTCACTGAACCATGCAGTACTGCTTACTTGAGAGTTTTATTAACTTAAGCAAACTGATCAAAAGGGACAAAGACAGCTTTTATTAAGACTTAGCTAGCTTTCAGTTGAACGTGAGTGGCAGGCGACACCGTCCTAATATTACGTAAATCTCTGTCAGAGTTGTTTGAAAAAAAAAAAAAGTATTTATTGTTTTGTTATTAGTTTATCATTCTCTTTTTTGGTGAGGCCAGGGCTGAGTGACAGGGGTATACATTGAATTTAAGAAAAGTGCATTATAAATGGAATTCATTATAGCATATTGCAAGCCAAGACATGTTGGGTGGCTGAAATCTTTTTCTGTAGTTTTGCAGTGAAGCTACAAAGTAGGGATGCACCAACATGGGAATTCTGGTTTGTTGCCGATATCTGATATTTTTCATGTACATATCAGCCGATGCCAATAAATAATCATTAAAAAATATATATAAATTGGAACTAAATCCACCTGGATTCGCATTGCAGAGAGATGTTGAACTTATTTGTGGAAGTGCAATTAATGTCCCTAAATATTTGCTCGAAGTATTGTTCAGATATGAACATCTGTCCAAAGCTGACTTTTTCTTGGCACAAATGTCTGTTGATTCCGATATGATTCCGATATTGTTGTGCATCCCTGCTATGGGGCTAGTATGATAGAGGTCTGTATCACCCAAAAATTAGTGTAAAACTAAAGCAGCTTTGGACACCAAACATATCTTGACTGATCGACTACATTTGGACATTTGGGGTAAGGGGAGAACTGCGTAAATTAGATTTTTCAGTTAACCATTCATTTAATGCAGGTAGGCCAACTTCATGTTGATAGCGTATTTATTTGTCCCTTAGCTTGATAGAAGAGCGCAGCTCATCCTTGCCCAGCTCACCTGCCAAACGAGTCTCTCCAGCCAAAAAGAAGCAGTTCTTTATAAGCCAGGCCATTCGCAACTCTGACCTCACACCCAAAGCCAAGGGCAAAAAAAGCCAAAGGAGACAGGAGAACAGTAAGTGCTCCCTACTGAAGTACAAAAGAAAGGTTATTCGGGTTTTAGTATCTGTTCAGCTGTGCAGACATAGTTTTTTTACAACTGACTTGATGTTTCCTACCAGCACAAACATGCTGACCTGATTATTCATAGGTTTTTAATTGTATGATATTATGAACTTGTAATGTTTATGTCTTAAGAAAAGCACAGATTTGATCCTGTTTCCTCCTCTTCTAATAATTAAATTCTAAAATAGCTCGCTACCTGGCTAATCTTCTGGAGCGGGATGAGTGCTCCAAAGACGAGGCTGAAGCATGTGAGACAGCCTCACCCACAGTCTTCACTGAGGCTTGCACCAATGGAAACTATGTGGAGGTACAGCAGCCTGTTCCAGTGATTCAGTTGAAACACACAGCAGCCTTTTTAAAACCGTCTTTCTCGTTTCTCTCAGTATTGGAGTGACTTCATGAACCGCTCAGGAGAGGAGCAGGAGAAACTGCTAGCCCTGCTGGAGGAGGAGGCGAGGAGGAGTAACTCTAGCAAGGCCCCCAAAGATCAGAGAGAACGTGCGGCATCATTTACTCCTCATATACTGACAGAATATGTCTATACAAACGATATAATTAAATAATGATTGTGCATTGATCGCCATGCAGTGGATCACTAACAGATTTGGTCCTAGAGGGTCAGAGTCCAGAAGAGTTTGGTGATTTCTCTGCACAAACATACCTGGTTCCACTCAGTAGGAGGTTGCCAGGTTTGAATTTGAGCAGGAAAAAATCAGTGAACTGTGCTGGACTCTTGCTCTTCAGAATGAAATTGTGGAATTGGATACCGCTGATCTATAAATTGATATCAAGCGTTGGTGGTGATGATCAATAAAGCTTTCTCTTGCATTAGTGAACCCTGCCTACACCGCTCAGGAATGCTTCCAAAGGATTGACCGGAGGCTGCGTGCAACATTGAAACGAAAGCACATTCCCTTGGTGAGCCATTCTTTTTTATGTAATGGATATGCACGTGTAAGTTGGAGTAGTTGAACATGGACTGAACAGAAATCTTCTACACACATATCTTATGTATTTACATCATTATTTGATATTATATATCAGGACCCCCACAGGACCACCTTGGAGCAGATGTTATTTGGGTGGTGGGTCATTCTCAGTGGTGGTATGTTAGTGTGTGTTGCGGTGGTATGAGTGGAGCAGACACAGCAGTGCTGCTGGAGTTTTTAAACACTGTGTATACTGTCCACTCTCCACTGTTAGACACTGTCGGTCCACCTTGTAGATATAAATTGTTAGTCATCCTCTAGTCCTTCATCAGTGGTCACAGGACGCTGTTGGCTGGACATTTTGGTTGGTGGACTGTTCTCAGTCTAGCAGTGACAGTGAGGTGTTTAAAAACTCCAGCAGTACTGCTGTGTCTGATCCACTCATACCAGCCAAACACACACTAACACACCACCACCACGTCATACCTTCTCCTGTGATGTACACACTGCACCTGTTTAAGTTATATCTCAGATATGAACTTTTCTGTTAAAGGGGACTCTGGAGATTCTGGAGACTGACCTGCTGACCTTTTTTGGTGCTACACCACACTCTATCTATGTCACCAAACTTGGCAGCAGGTATGTTGCCGACAGGAGAAAAACATTTATGCAATTTATTTTGGCTGAAATGTATGTATCTGTTTTGTGGAACCCTTTTCTAAAAAGTCGGAAATGTTTTATTCATTTGGATGTTTATGTTCCCCAGTTTCGAGAGGCTGCTGCTTCATGCTATCTGCCAGTATATGGACCTCGTCTCAGCCAGTAAGTAGATCCAACAGGTATTACAGCACTAGCATTTAGACATTAAATTAGGTTTTTAATCTTATTTGTCAAGCAACCCACCACACAACAGCTTTTTGACATATTTGCAGTTTAAGTTTAAAACTTATAAAAAGAAGCGCGCAATGCAAATGAATGGCAGGTGCAGAATGGTTTTCCCCCACTGCGTGGGTGTGGCCTAAATGCGCTCTGTCTCTATATCATGATATTTGAAGGCATTATCACAATATATGTTATGTATTGCAATATTTGGTTTTGCTGAAGTTTGATAAGCTAGAACAGGCAGAATGTGCCAGCCATGCTACATTTAAATATACTGATAAAAACTAAGTTAAATGATTTTTATTAAATGTGTTTCATACTGAGCTGCAATAAATCTATTTAAACTGGGCTAATTATATTTCTTGTTGCCCACCCCTATCTTATTTGATTGTTTGTATTGTGTGACTCCATAACTGTGTAAATAGCTCCTTAATTCACATACATTGTACCAAAATAATTGAATCTTGAACTTTGGTAAAATTTCCTGATTCACTGAATCATTTTCTAAAGAATTGGAATTTTTTTTTTTTAGGTCAAAAAATGACACACTTATGTTACATGGCTTTTTGTGTTTGTTTGCTTGAATGCTAACCTGCATGTCCTGTGTTTTCAGGCTCTGACTGTAATGGGGCTCGGCAGACAAAGGTCGTGAACAAGCAGGAGGGGTTCCTGCCCCCCTGCCCGCTGCTCTCAGCCTACCTGGAACAGATGAGCTGAAAGGACTGCCACCTTCTAGCCCTGCCACATAAACTGGCCAGTATGAATTCTAGAAGCAGCTTTAAGTAAACAGGCTTGTAAGCCTATTGTCTGCCAATTACGTTGGAAAGGCTTTGTTTATGAGAGTGAGAGTGGGCCACCATGTTCTTTAGTAGATTCCTGCACTAGCTACCTAAATGGTCATTTGCTGGAACTCTTTTCACTGTTTGTACTGGAAACCTTTACTTGGAATTTTAAGTGACTCCATGAAATTTAATTCTTTTGATAATGCACAAAATCTGTACGGTCCACGTTGATATTCAAGGCAGATGTACTGTTTTGTCACAGCAGGCTTTTATAGGTGCTATCAGTGAATTTATCTCTTGCCACATCTTTGCTACTAAATAGAAACGTGTCTCAAAATATTATAATGTGATACTGATTCGATTTTTGTGATACCGCTAAAAGTGCTAAGTTTTATGGGGTAGTTTTTGTTCACATTGATTAGGTACAAGATAAAGCATGTTTTGTGCATTCTTTACCGTAATTTTTGATTTTGGAATAGATATGGGTTACTCTGAACTAGATAAATCTTTTCCGTATGTGTCATGTCATGTAAATATGTTGTATGAATAGATCAGTTTAGCTAATTCAACAAAACGTGTTAGTGATAGCATCTTTAAGTGCCTCTATTCAAAACAGTTACACATTCAATAGGTTTTAGTTTAATCACATTTTTCTCAGATTTCTTCACCACAGTCTTTGTGTTCTGAAGAACACAATGTTGATACTAATATTAATTTTGGAACTAATCCTGAGATTTAGGAAACTGTTTAATCATATAAGGTTGTAATGGTCTGAGATGGGTTCCCAGGCCCAGTCCTGTCGACCATACACACGCATTTTTCCTACTCTACACACCTGGGGTTGCCAGACCTGCAACTTTGAAACCCTGGTCTAATATATTTAAAAATACCTGGGGTTTCCGAAGGGGAAGGTGTAGAAACACCAAGTCTCTAAAGGTTTACAAAACATCCTTTTGTCTTTGGAGAGATCTCAGTGATTCTGGGATAAAAGAATCCCTTAAAAGTGATATGTAATATCAGTAGTACTTGCAGTGCTAGTTGCATGTTTTATCACTTTTTCCTTTTTCAGCATCAGTGCTTTAGTGTCGTATACTGGACTTTTATATTCTATCCAAATTATGCTACCAAATATGTGCTTTTTAGTGATTTCATAAATATCCTCACTTTCTTCTGGTGAAGACATGCATGATGGCAGTGGTAGTGATGCCTCTGTTATCAAGACATTGTGCTATATGTGGTGCTCTTTCTTTGTGTGTTTTGAAAGTTTACTAGAATTCAGTCAGGTAATTTGAAGGGGAATTAATTCAAAGTTTCATTAATTCTGCATAAATCAGTCATTGAGATGTAAACACGGCCATTTATGGTGGTTTGATGTGAACTGATTAATTGTAGAGAAAACTTTACAGTGGTCTTGAAAGGAACCAGGGGTCGTGATGCCTCCAGTGCATTTAATGTTAATAATAGTAAATTTGAAATAAATCTGAAAAAAGAAGTATTTTACTTTTAGGTCTATGTTGCCTCACAATGCCCTGCATTTCTCCTTCTCTGCCATGAATATATAAAAAAAATGTTCTAAGCCAAAATCTTGCCTCAAAACTATCATAAAGCTCTCTGACAGTCTCTGACTGTGTTCTTAACCATTTCATGTTAGAACTTTCTGTGAGGGAGCTTTTAGAGGCATTAAACGCTTTAGACGTCTGGTTCCTATCACCACCACTGTCAGCAATCCTGCCTATTTAAATTTCTCGAGAATGGTGCCCATCAAACCAAAGCTGGATAGCTTTGTTTTATATCTTCATGATTTAATTAAGCAGACATTTTAAAAGATTGTTGGAAGTCCTCTTTAAGCAGCACACAACTCAAATTGAGCAGAGGAACTGTTTACAATGCAGAACTTCAGAAACAGGCTCACAGAAACAGAAACTGTTATTAATGGCAGAATCTGATAGATTTGGATCAACCTCAGATGTAGGCATGTTTGTACCAGGTAATATGTGAAGGTATGGTCGCCTTTAAGGCACGTAACTTATATTGAATTTTTCTCTGGCCCTGTTATCACACCCTTATCAACTTGCACTCACAACTATGCCTTACACATGCATGCCAGTTTGTCAGTAATGTGACTTTGCTTTCGTTTAATACATTTAAAGATCAAGGCTTGTCGTGGTTTACATCATGAGTACATTTTGTGACATTTTTACTCTGAAGAGGCTGGAGACCCTCGACCAGCCGGTGTGTTGATGTTCCGAACCAAAGTGAAAGTGCGAGTGCGTTTACTCATTTTCTCAGGCATCAACACTTATGAATGTGTATTTCTACACACATCAAACACATGTTTATTCACGTAAAGCCAGGAGTCCCACATGTTACTGTAGATCCAAATGCTGGGCTTAGGGGATGGCTTTGTACTATATTTATATGTGTCTGCCTGTAGATTGCTGTTATAATATATTGGTAGTTTCATGCAGAGAAAGTTAGCTTCATGCACCGTAGACTACAGGGTGTGTCTTTTTACATGTAGGTGGGACAAATGGAAATATGAATGTTTAGTACCAAGTACAATTTCAAGATCATTTTTGTATGAACATTGTGTCACAGGGATGCAAGCCATGTGTGATCTGTCCATGTCTGTATGTAAACATTGGAATAAATACTTAGTCAAGCATCTATTGACTTGAATGTGTTGTACTTACTAAAAAAACAGCCAGAATGCCACTTACTTTTTTCAGTCACATGGAATTGTATATGAATACTTCGTAATGGAAGATGGTAACAGTTTTTACTTTACTAAACAGTTTGTGTGGCACTTTATTTAATAGTAATGCAAATGCACTTCACATGCAGTGGCCCCACAAAGTATCTGGACATTTGTGCCATATTTACAACCTTGTATTAGGAAATGAGTAGCAGTTTTTATATACAGATCATTGTCTGTTATTTTAAGCTGATGTTTTTTTGCAGACTTCTGCTGGTTAGCATCCAACATGCCTTCTGAGTTCCAATCAGTGAACGCAAGCTCATTGACACCACTGTAAGAAAAACAGCCACAGATTTTGACGTGTCCATTTCTGTGCTTTACAGAGTGCAGTTTTAGTGCAGTTTGGCTGGAATTCTTCTTCAGGCTTTCTCCACACAGAGTCTACCATCAGTTTGATGCTGATGCTAAAATTTTGTTAACAGTGCTGTGCTATTGTTGTGCTACCATTTTATTAGGCAACCTGAATACCTTTATTAAAGTTTCCCAGTGCATGGTGAGAAAATGGTTAGTGTCCAAATACTTTTGAGGCTGTTGTATATTTTTTTTATATCCATATTTACTGGTTTTACTGTGGAATCAGATTCGCTTTATTTTTGCTAAGTGTGTTACAAATGAGAGGAATTTGTCTTGGTGAGTGCACACATATATAACGTTACATACTGAACACACGACACAAGAAAATAAAATAATAAAAAGAAATGAAATGCAAGCAGATGAATATGTGAATGTGTCTGAGGAAACAAAATCAGTTACTATTATTATTATTATTATTATTATAAATCACACATTTTTTGCTTTTACAAAGCAAAAGGCTCTTTAAAATATCAGTACTGTTATCAGGATATTAGCCTTGGTATGACTTGTGAAAAAAACTCTGTCTACCTCAGTGAGGTTTTGTGTCAGGTTACAGTTTATTTAATACTAATGCAAATCTGTTTAATTATACACACTTAATGATGGTTCTTCAGGGGTTCTTAAGTAAAGAAAACTCAGAGCCCTTTATATGGTTTAAGGGTTTTTTTGCATCGTGAAAGTGTTCTTCAGACTGATAGAGAATGAGCTGTAGATGGTTCTAAGTAGAACCTTTTTTGAAAAGGGTTCTATATGGCACCAAAAAGGGTTCTTCTATTACAATGCCGAGCTTGTTAAAATAGAAGAACCCTTTTCAAAAAGCCTCTGTATAGAACCATCTGCACCACATTCTCTATCAGTCTGAAGAACTCTTTCTCGATGCAAATACCCCTTTAATCAATCCACATAGAACCATTTTCTTTTCTTTCTTTTTACTAAAGAACCCTTGAAGAACCACCATATTAAAAGTGTAGTTTTCAGAGTAATGGAAATGGTATTTTTACTGGGATATTAGCCTTAGTATTACTTGGTATCGTATCGAAAAGATAATCAGTGGTATCGTCCATCCCCACCTTAGAGGTTTTGTGGGAATGACAAAAATAACAAATTCAACAAATTCATTTTCCCCCGAGTGTATTCTGAGGGGCTGAGGGAGCTGGGGGGGGGTGCGGGGGGCTGAGGGGCTGAGGGAGCTGGGGGGGGTGCGGGGGGCTGAGGGGCTGAGGGAGCTGGGGGGGATGCGGGGGGGCTGAGGGAGCTGGGGGGGGTGCGGGGGGCTGAGGGGGCGGGGTCTACTCATAACTGCACTTAAAGCATCTCTGCTAAAACGCTGGAGGTTTCTCTATAAAAGCCGCCAGCAGTTAGAAACAGCGATGCTTAACTTTGTGAAAATGCGACACTGGCTGTCCAGCAGCGAGGGAAGAAAACCCGTCCAGCTTCGTGCCAACTATATCTGACCGCTGTGGGTTTGGGAGTTTAACCTGACCATGAACGAGTCGGTGAACTCCAGTAACGGCTCCAGTGAGGCTGCTACCCCCGATGAGGAGGCGCCGCTGCTCGTGGACGCCTGGCTGGTTCCGCTGGTGTTCGGAGTCATCATGGTGGTGGGACTCGCTGGAAACTCTCTGGTTCTCCACGTCATTTCAAAGCACAAGAAAATGTGGACAGCAACCAACTTTTACATAGGTGAGTGTCCTAAAAGTGTGTTTTTAAAAGTATTTTATTAGACATTGATGATAATGATAATAGTGATAATATGAAGGACAGCACCGTACAAGACAAAAGTATATATATAAATATATATAGGTCCTTTACTACATTTATATTTATCATTTTTCACCTTTTAAATATATATATATATATATATATATATATATATATATATATATATATGATAAAAATGATAAATATAAATGTAGTAAAGGACCTTCAAACAGCATATGAAGAACTAGTTCACTGTTAGAAATAAAGGTTCTGTGCAGGTACATTTTGCGTTCATCAAGGTACAAACAATGTAAATGTTCCCTCAAAGGTACAACAGTGGTGTTACCTTTTTACCTTAAATAAGTTTTTCCCAAGTGAAAAGTACATATTTGTGCCTTTTCATAACTTAAAGTTTTAAAACAGAACAATAAAATAAAAAGCCTGGAGACGAGACGGGGCATTTTACTGATAGTGAATATCATTTCAATGGATTATGATACAAATAAGTTCCCTGACTAAAGGTACTGAGATGTACCCTTGAGGGTCCCACTTCCGGTGACAGTTTCAAACCTTTATTTCTGAGAGTGTAAAAAAAAAAAAAGAAAGAAAGAAAAAGAAGATCAAAAGGTAAGAAAGTATCTTGAGATTTGAGATATAATGGACAAATAATCATTGATTGAATTACTCGTGTCTCTTTTGAAATAGCTAAAGCTCAGTGAGATTTTTAAGTATTTGGAAATATGAGGTTGAAAAGCATCTTTTCTGCTCAGCTAACCTGGCGATGACTGATATCACGTTCCTGGTTTGCTGTGTGCCGTTCACTGCTGTGCTGTATCCTCTGCCCAGCTGGGTCTTTGGAAATTTCATGTGTAAATTTGTGAGCTACATCCAACAGGTGAGATGTGCTGAATGTAAGTTATTTCTTTCTGATAAAAAGCTTTGTGTTGAAATATTCATTATTTTAAAGCATAATCTGTGCTCCCCTAACATGCAACCAGTTATTAATAGCTCATCTACTGATGTTCTTTTTGTATGTGGTAGGTGTCTGCACAGGCTACCTGCGTGACACTGACCGTGATGAGTGTGGACCGCTGGTACGTCACTGTGTACCCACTGCGCTCTCTGCAGTGTCGCACCCCAAGAGTTGCCACCATGGTCAGCCTGGGAATCTGGATAGGTCAGCTCTCTTGTGGATTCTTTACCCATATTAGCAATACGTATAATATTAAGTGCTGCATTTATGCTGTGTAATTAATGTTATAAATGTACTGTACACTCTTAAAAAACAATGGTTCTTCAATGGTTCTTTACTAAAGAAAATGGTTCTATAAATAACCATGAACACTCAAAGAACACTTGGCATCATGAAAAGGTTTCTCAGATTGATGGAAAATATGCATCATTGTGCTATAGACAGTTCTGTATAGAACCATTTTAAAGAAGGATTCTGTATAGCACCCAAAAGGGTTCTTCTATTGTTACAAGCTTGACATTGCAACAATAGAAGAACACTTTTGGGTGCTATATAGAACCCTTTTCAAAAAAATGCAAAGGGTTCTTTGAGTGTTCATGATTATTTATAGAACCATTTTTTTTTTTTTTTTACCAAAGAACCTTTAAAGAACCATCTTTTTTGAGAGTGTAGAACACTGACCAACAGCCTGTTTCATTATAAAGAGAGCAAAATTAGTCTTGTTTAAAGTCTTGTTGGATCTGATCAGTTGAAACTGATCAGATGTCTGAAAAAATTAATATCGAGACGTATCGTGTATGGAAAATTTTTGAAGTATCGCAATATTATATTATAGCCATATCGCACACCTCTACTTTGTGGACACCTGCTCTTTAATGGGTGATGTTTTTTTCTGAAATCAAGGGTATTAATAGGGCATTTGTCCCAGAATTGATGCTGTAATAGCCTCTACTCTCATGGAAAGGCTTTAAACTAGATGTTGGAACATTGCTGTGAGGATTTGATAACATTAGTGAGGTCAGGCACTGACGTTGGTGATTAGTTCTGGGTCACAAATGCCACACTAGCTCAGTGTTGGATGGAGCTCCATCGCTTCAGAGAACTCAGTTCTCTGCAGGCTCCAGAGCATCCCATTCTATTCCCAGTGCTTTTCTGTGGATATTACACAAGCTGTGTTAGCAACGGGTTTACCTTAAAGTAGCTGAATTGATTGTTTACAAATTGGACATATAATGTATTTGGAAGATGGTTTTTGACTTGCTGTTTTTTTTTTTCTTTGTTTAGGCTCTTTCCTGGTGTCTGTGCCAGTGCCTCTATATACCAGGACTTTAGCTGGAGAATGGTACGGCCCTCGGATATTCTGCACCGAGACCTTTCCCACAACAGCACACAAGAAAGTCTTTATCCTCTACAATTTCCTGGGTGTGTACATGCTCCCACTGGTGACGATCTGTGTGTGTTATCTGGTCATGCTGCACCAGATGGGCCGGCCGACTGTGGAACCTGTTGACAATAACTATCAGGTAATGGTAGTACAGTTAATCCAAGATGTTTTGAACTGACAGTGACTTAAGGATGCAGTATTACAACCTTAATCGTTTATAAGCTATCACTACCATTTTTAAAAACAGCAACTGAATAATAACAAACCATACATAGTGTTTAAAGACTTTTGTTTTAAGGAAGCCTTTAAAAAGATATCATTAAAACACCATGTGTATAAGTGAAAATGCATATTATTATTATTACTATTATTATTATTATTATTATTATTATTATTATTATTATCAGGTCCCATCATGTCGTTTCCGACTTGTGGCGATCATATCGGTGTTTTCCCAGTACATCCTGTCATCTGTTGGGTCTCCAGGCTTTTAAATGGCTGGTGAAAAATGCATATATTGCGTTTAAATGGGTTTCATCAGGGCCTGTTTCTTACTGTAACAGAGACCATTATGAAAATGTAGGTCAATCTGAAATCAAAACTGACCATTTTTCAAATATTTTCACATGATCTCTAGGGACACACTATTAAAACTGATCAAGTTCAGGATCCACAGATTTTTTGCACAAAATATGTGATTGGACTTTTTTTATTAACTTGATTTTGGCTGATCTGAGTTGCAATTTTTTGACCTAAATAATGTCACAATATCAGGCAAATGCACTTGCAATGTATCTGAATGCTGCTGCTGCACAATATACCAAAACTCATTGTGGTGCAGTTGTGTTTATTCAGGCAACTGCAATTTCTTTTAGGAATTTAAATTGCCAGTTTGACCCATTAAAAAGCAAATAATGCTATTTATTTTGCAACTTTGGCTAGTAAAAAGTACTGGCACATGATTCATGTGTTCGAGTAGCCCACACAGTGTGAGCTTTGGATTAGAACAAAGACTAAAAAAATTGGAATCGGACTCAGCTATTAAAAACTCATAACTGGTGCATCCCTATGATGATATTTGCTCAATTTTAAAACGTCTTCTGAGTTTTGGTTACATCACCATGCACCAACATTATATCATGCACCACCATAATATCATGTTTAAATCCCCCCTTCCACCACTCTCACCTATCATTGAGAAAAAAACACTCAGCTAGTTTAGGGACCCTCCTGATGCTGCATTTACCTTGGAAATATGTCAAAGTAAGTATGCATTATCGTCATAGAAAGTTTCATCTAATCTCAGCCGATTAACTGAGAAGGTCAATTTGAATCAATGATTTTTGCAACCTAGTAATCAAAATGAATTGTGACAAGCTTTGTACATTATATTTGATTATACAAAACACCTTTCATGTCTACAGAATTTGCATCACATTTCCGTGTACTTCTATGCACCGTACTAATTAAAAATGTATGATTGCTTGACGCATATCATGTATTGCTATGGTAATAATAAAATGCTTTTGTCTTTTCTCCTACCTTGTGATTCAGCTGCAGGTCCAGACTGAGCGCAGTGCTGCCATGAGGGCTAAGGTGTCTCGCATGGTTCTGGTAATCGTGCAGCTGTTTATTCTGTGCTGGGGTCCCATTCAGCTTTTCATCATGGTGCAGGCCTTTAGTCCGCACTTCCGCCAAGACTACTATGCTTACAAAGTGAAGATATGGGCACACTGCATGTCGTACAGCAACTCCTGCATTAATCCTATAGTCTACGCCTTCATGGGTGCCAACTTCCGCAAGGCCTTCAGGAGAACTTTTCATTGCCTCTTCAAGCAGCGCGTGTCTGTCGCCCAGCAGCCGAACGCGAATGCCAACACAGAGATGCACTACGTGTCATAGGATCTGTTTCTGAGATTCGGTGTATCTTTTAGTCTTATACTCCATGTACTCACTACTGAGGCTGTAATGTTTAAATGTAGTCTTGAATTTGTTTATCAAACCGAAGACAATGTGAATAATGAATGTTGGGAGTGTTTGAATGCTTGTAAATTTGTAAAATAATTTGTTTGGATGAATATATACTATATGTCCAAATGTTTGTAGACACCTTTTGCCCAAAATTTCTTCAAAAGCAAGGTTAATAGGGAATTTGTGCCACAAGAATGTGAATGAGGTCAGGTACGGATATGAGATGATCAGACTGGTTTGGGATGATCATGATTTTTCTGGATCACAAACACCATTCCAGCTCATCCAACTGGACAGGGCTCCACTCCAGAGACTGCTCCACAGCCTAGTGATGGGGGCTTCACCCCTTTAGCCAGTTTGTGGGTCCATTTCAGAACTTTCTTTAATGTGCCCTCATTCACTCAAAAGAAGAGGAGGGGACAGCGAGGAGCAGATTACTCAGACTGAACTCTAAAAACTGAAGTCTCTCATCCTTGGCAGTTTAGCCTCTAGGAGCTAATCGGTTAGCCATGCAAACTTTTGAAGCTGAACAGAATGTACATGAAGCTTTGCTGCAGAGCTGTGGTGCCTTTCTTTTTGTTGTTGTTCGCCGTGTAGCCTTTAGCATGCTAACTAGTAGTCTAGCAGTGGAAAGTGAAGTTGTATCAGCAGTCATGTATGAGAGATGGAGTCGTTTGCAGCCTAAAACCCAGCAAATTGAATGTTGGTTTTGGAATATTTTAAAGTAGTTTTTTTGGGTTATTATAAACATTTATATTATAATTATAAAATTATAAATACATTTCAAATACATTGTAGTCCATGCTGAAATACATTACAAACACTAAAATGTATTTCAGAATATATCACCATATTGACCAAATATATTTTGAAAGACATTTTTTAATGTATAGGGAAATATTGCACACAGAAATGTACCATGCAAAATATTTATTTATTTGAAAATGTATGAAAATAGCCAAAATAACAACAAAACCGTATTATGCACTTTACTGTTTGAAATACCTTCTAAAATGAATTTGTATTGTAGTATCTTAATTTTAGGTATTAGCAAATGAACCTTTAATATGACAAAAGCAAATGTTGTAGGTATTGATTCCCTGTGTATAATTTGAAATACATTTTGTGCGAGCACTGTCTTGCTGCATATGTACAATGGTAAATGCAGTACTGTTCATTCAGTTCATGTATATTTAGTTATATCTGTAACCTTTGTTAAAACTACATAAAATTGGAAAAATATAATAGCAAATACAAATAAACGCATTTTAAAAATATATTTAACAAATGCATTTGTTGGCCATTTTCATACATTGCAAAAATATATTTAATAAATACATTTGGAATATATTTTTGTCCATATGAGTGGTTTATAATCTTTATTATGGATTTGTTAGAAGGTAAGGGTGAGAGATATGCTTATGATGACTTCAAAGCTCATTTAAAGTTGGATATTTCATGGAAAGAATATGAGAATATTGTGAAAAGGATTTCTTCAAGATTACTTCACCTTATAAGAGGAGGGTTAGACCGGTATTGAAACGGACAGTTGGATGTAGGTATGCTGACTGTGGGCTGTTGGCTGCTCCGGGGCGTCCCATTCTACTGACAGTGCTTTTCTATGGAAATTATACAAGCTGGGTGTGTGCAGTTGAACATCTAATTAGACTAATGACTAACTGGAAATGGCGTCTAAAAACTTTTGGTCTGGCGAGTAGTCTATACTAGTTTCTCTGCCACCGAATTGCACGTGAACCGCAATGCCATTTCTGCCCACTAGGTGGCAACATGGCGCCATAAAAGTGAGCAGCTCTTGCTAGACAGAAAAGCAACGAGAATTCAAGATCAAACTTAGTGTGAATTAAAATAAAATCAAAACAGTGACATACATATAATATAGCTTCTTGCCATAAAATAATATCTTGTAAAATTATTTGTACAGTAAAATGAACTGAATTCATTTATTTAGCTGGCTTAAAGTTGTTTGATTTGATTTTTTAAGTAGATTTTTTTTGTTGTTTGATGGCAAAAATACAACGTCAAGATACTTTAAGACACTTCCTCGATACATGATGTATGATGACGTTTAGTTTGTCTGAGGTTTGATAAGCTGGAATAACAGACCAAAAAACAACCTGCCACATTTTTAAAATATATTAAAGACTGTAATGATTTTCACACACTGCACTGAATCCAGCTAAACAGGACTAATTATGCTCACCTCTTAAGGAAACATGAAACTGGTCAGTGTTATGTAAGTACTAAGGAAATCCACGATATGCTTAGAAAAGCGCAGTGTGACATTAAAGTACAAACAATGTAAATGTACCCAAAGGTACAACAGTGGTTTTAAGGTCCACTTGTGTACCTTAAAGTTTTTTCCCAGTGGAAAAGTATTTGTACCTTATCATATCCTAATGTTTTAAACCAGAACAATAAAATAAAAAGCCTGGAGACGAGACGGGCTGTGTGGAGTCAGTACAACTTAGAAAATATCATTTCAATGGATTATGGTACAATAATCTTCTCTGGCTAAAAGTACTGAGATGTACCCTTGAGGGTACCACCGCAGTGACAGTTCCATACATTGTTTTCTGAGTGTGCAATAAAGCTAAACATTGTCAAACCCACGGACCCGGTGCTGTTGATTGTGTTGTGTTTGCCGTTTTGTTGTCTGTCAGTTCCATCTCATCAATAAAAAGCATGTGTCTGATACATTGCATAATAATTACATCACAAATAAATGAAATTAATCCACCTAATGCGTAATTCAGCCCACTAATTCTGCCATGTAGTTGATGTTGAAATTTATTTTATCTTTTGGTTCTTTTTGTTTCTCTTTGTAAGTTTTAGTTTTTTAAATCCTTTAAATGTAAAGGGGCATAGACTGTGAAATAAGAATAAATCGGTGATCTATAAAATCAACGGCTTGTTGCAAGATGACGTTGGGCTAGACAAATATTCAACGCTTAAATCATTCTGTAATTGTGCAACTGACTGAAAAAAGTCATCCACCTAAATTTGAGGCAGAATTTATGACTCCTCTGATTAGAGAAAATCCCCATAAAGTGCCCATCCTGATTTTGTGCTGTATTGATTATGTGTGGGTCATTTTGTGTTTCTCAATAACGTCATAAAAAGTTTCCTTCATTTTTAGGGGACTTTTATGAATGCTGATCTGCAAGGTCAAAGAGGCTATTCTCGGGTTTAGGGAACGTCGCCAAAACTTTACCCCGCGACAAAAGCTGCAGCACGTTTGTTCAACTCAGTCACTGATACACTGAGTCCCTCACATGAGACAGTCTCACTCAGAAGGGTTGACCTGCAGCATCGTGGACTGTTGTTTTGTAAGAGTGCCAGTTAAACACTTTTAAGTACACTTTAATGCAGAAGGTTATTCGTGTGAGTCTATTTCACCTCACACCCAACACAACCTGTCATTTGCACACGTTTCCTGGTGAGAGTGATGGTGGCGGGGGGGAAGGTGGCCTCCCTCTGATTCACAGGTTTGGAATTTGCATCTGATTGCTGTTTGTCAACCAATGGTTTCCCTCAGCCGCCGTGGACACGCCTCAGATTAGGCAAAGATGCGCTCTTCCTTCCAGATGATATCCTATGTCGAAATCAAAACGAATTAATACAGTATTAGGTCCGCACATATGAGCTGTACGCCGCACTGTATTTGGGGAAATTGGGGAAAAACTGTAGCTGCATCCAACACTGCGCCACCGCACCGCGGCGAGCTGTTGTTTTCACGGGGAAATCAGGAATGTGTCTTCCGGTTCCCAGGAGTGCAGAAAACAAAACGACAGCTGAATTGGTAAGTTTCGTTCACTTATTTTATGTTATGGGGGAATAAATGTGGTATTTCTTTACATGTTCTACTTATCTCTTATCATATGTGGTCCGTTTGCCTGTTTATTTTCTATGTCGAGCCCGATAATTAGCTGTAGCTTAGCCTACTAGCCTCACGCTTCGTATCAGTTACGGTGTATTTATAAAGCCCTGCCCTGCTGGCTCTTTACTTGAACACCCGTTCAATAAATACACACTAAAACAAAGACAAACAGACCTTTCCCTGAACTGGATATTGGTAATAAACAGGCCCTGTCACTGTGTGTTTCGGCACGACCGCTTATAATGGTGGAGGAATGTCGGGTATTTTATTTTTTACTGAGGTAGTTAAAAGTTAAGACGGTCCGAGAAACGTTCGTTAAGTTAGCTAACAGTTACGTTACTGTTTCAGGTTATCTAGGCTAACGTTATCAAAACCTTTAAGCCCAGCTCTTATCAACGTTAGTCGTTTATCTCTCCTTCTTCGATTTGGGGAAGTGAAATATTGATTTATGTTTATCTCTGAAGCTGTACACTTTTCCAAATGTAGTCAGGGAAGAAGAGCAAAGTGCTGAACTTTTTACCGAGCGGAGAGAAAACAAGTGCACGGCTAACAAAAGTGTTACTGGAAAATACTCCGTATGTATAGACGAGTTAAATGAGATTCGCCAGGTCGCAGCTTTGGTGGTTTCACGTACACAGAAATTATTTCTTTCACGAATATTTACACGGAATTACAGCGTACTGGAAGGAAAAAAGCTTTTGAGATGTGGTCTTGAAGCCGAGGTAGGCTATAACGAGGCTGTACAGTTCGGTTTGCTGTCTGCTTTCACTGGAAATGGGTACCTTATTAAGCACCGACAGGAGCTCGTCTCTTTACGTATAAACGTACGGTCTATACTGTTATTTCAAGTTCGCTGCGGGTCTTACAGGCTTCAGACTGGTGGCTGTGGTAAGATCGCACGTTAGTTTCGGCCGTGCTATCTTTACAGTTGAACGATTTGACGTAAACACAAGAACAATGTCAGGAACCCTGAAGGTAAATAGGCCACATGTGGGCTGACTGACTGCTTCTCACAACTTTTGGAACATGACCAACAGCAAATTGTGTGTGTGTGTGTGTGTGTGTGTGTGTGTAAGGGGTCCAACGATACACATACCTTCGATAGGTTTGATAGATGATATCTTGTGTGTTAAAAATGTCTTGACTCTACAGCCATTTGATTATATGGTGCAGATTTGCTTCAGAAAACTATACATTTTATTTCAAAACAAAAGAACACGAAAATGGCAGTTTTATAAAACAGTACAGGTGAGCTATAAGCAATTCAGAAACTTTGGATCATTGACAGTGGTTTCCATAACATATAGAAAGTGATAGCTCCTCAGTCACAGCTACAGTTTAAATGACTATATTCTGTTTCTCACCCTGATTATTTTGATTATTGTATACTGTATTGAAGTCATTACAACCTCAGTGTATATATGTGGGGAATTATCCCAAATAAAAGTATGTTTATACTATATTTATGTGGCTGTTGTATGAAAAAGTATGTTTTCACTTTAGCTTCACTCTTAAAAAAGATGATTCTTCAAGGGTTTTTAAGTAAAAGCAACGGTTCTGTTTAGAAGTTCTATATAGAGCTATTTCATGCTCAAGTGGTTCTTTGCATGGTGGAAACGTTCTTCACATTGATGGAGATGTGTTGTGTATGGCTTTTTGAAAATAGTTCTATACAGCACCAAATAGGGTTCTGCTACTGTTAAAAGCTTGACATCGTAACAGTAGAAGAATCCTTTTTGGTGCCGTATAAAACCATTTTTAAAAAGCCAGACACAACACATTCTCCATCAATCTGAAGAACGTTTTACCATGCAGAGAACCATTTGAGCGTGACATGGTTCTATATAGAACCATTGCTTTATCAAAGAACCCTTGAAGAACCATCTTTTTAAGAGTGTAGTGTGCCAGTATTGTGTGCTCTCTGTATTTCCACGCTTTGTTAGCCAGTTTGGGATTGGGATTGTGTAGCGTCTCATAATTTGCTGCCTGGAACTGAATAAAGACTCCAGCTGTTTTAGTTGATTGCTTTTTTTATTCAGGGATTATTTCGTTATCTGTTTAGCTCTGTCCTTTGAAAGAACATTTCTGTCTCAGAGAGAAGTCTGTCATTGTATGTATTTCAGTGAAGTCAGTGATGCCTCTCAAAGATGTTTTGAAGAACTTTTTTGGGTTGTGTAGGACGTGAGGGTGTAACAGGGCATTGTGATATTACAGTGTAGAACTGCTATGACATGCATCGTGGAGATTTGACAATGCATTGTAGAGGGTGGATCTTTTATTAATGATGGCGTCTGATGTACCTGCATTGTTTGAACATCAGTGTTTGCAAACAACCAGCATCAGTCGACAGGTCACACTCCTCCTCCCTCCCAGCTCTAGTGTCGTTAGTAAGTTGTGCAACAACTAGAGATGCTTCGATATGAGTATTGTGTGCCCATGCTGAAATCTAGTATTAGCATATGTACGTACAGTCATATACAAAAGTTTAGGCGCCCTGGTCAGATGACATGTTTTGTTGGCTTTCTAAGTGAAAATAAGTTCACACATCCTCTACTGAGAACACACCTCTGCACATTTTAATGCACATTCACTGCTGAATTGAACTTATTGGAGAAATAAAGCATAAATGGTGGCCTGTGCACTATTTTTTTTCTTTCCTGTGTGTTAAACTCTACAAATACATAGAAATTTAGCAAAAAAAAAGCAATTTTTAAGTTGTATCTAACACAACAGCAACAAAACATTTTTTGATGGGATGGGGGGCGGTGTTCAAACCTTTGCATACAATCTACTGATTCTGATCAATAAACATTCTGTTTCAGGCTAGTTACACCAGCGTTCACATTACAGAGAAATGTAACAGTCTCTGTAAGGTTACAGATGCAGTGCGATGAATAAAATGCAGATATTTTAGCACAGTAGCCCAGCGTCCCCCACCTAAATGTTCTGTTTTGTAGAGTATAAAGAATACATCATCTATTATTGGTTTGAAAAGTCAATCAAACTAAACATCTGTCCAATGCTGATCATTTTTCAAGCAAGTATCTGCCGATGCTGACAAGGTTGCAGTGTCGTTGTGCATCCCTAGCAACAACATGATTATAGCCATTATAAGCCTTTATTCAAAATTTGTGAGTGTTGTGAGAATGCTTGAACCCATTATCATGAAACGAATCATAGGCTGAGTCTGTCGTTACACCCCAAGTAGGATATATTCATTGTGCTGGATGCATAAACTATGCTTTTAGATACATGTGCCCAGAGATCAGTGTTTCTTAAGGCCAGTTTTTCCTGCGGGTCTCAGGGTTTGCTTTAGCCTCTATTTTCATGAGTCAGGTTGTTTGACTATGAAAAAGCTTTATAAGCAGTGTTTTGTTTCACTTCCCTTCATTTATAGTTTTATTTGTCCAGAGAAGTTCACCTAGAACACAACCAGTTTTACAACAAAACCCTAGAAAGTTTAGAACTACTTTAAAAGAACACAGCAGTGGTGACACCAGTGCTTTTACCAGAATGCAGGTTTCGGTGTACTCTGCTTTTACTTCTCCTTTCATATGTTTTCCATGTAACTGAGCTTAAGTCATTAAATCTCACAGATTAAGGAGAATTAGTAATCACAAGTTGCGAGTAAGGTCATAAAGTCCTAAAGTCTGAATCTTTGTTCTCATTATTTTTGGTTGTTGTGTCTGATATTTCTCATAAGAGAAAACTTATTGTGAAGCAAACCTCTGGTTTGTGATTGGACCTCAGTGGATTAGGGGCATATAATCAGCGATCCAGTTGAACTTTTCAAGAGGCGGTCTGCATAACGTAGGCTGTCTAATGAATAACATGCCTTGTTTACGGAGAATGTTTTTCACTACAAGACTTGTTCTTGCTCTGATGTATGCAATGGATTCAAATGTCAAACTTGGCAGCATGTTAGCTGTATGTCAGACGCAGAGAGTCTGCTTTTGATTGCCAAACGAAAGTCCAGCGATAGATATTTGCAGAAGTTTAAAAGTGTCTGGAAGCTTCTGTTCTTTCTTGAGAATATTTTTATCTCATCTTTGCCGGTGGATGTGCGGTCGCCGTTTCTGTTTCTTTTTCACGTTTGTTTCTTGGGTTCGGTTTAGACCACAGGATGTGACGCCCAGATTTGTTTGTGCTCTTTACATGGACAGCTTTGTGTTCAGCCTTGTCAGCATGCCATCATTTCCTGAAATGTCTCTGCGGGTACATCAATGTGATTCATTTCAGAATTGAGAGCTTGTTATGTGATATTTATTTTCTGCTTAGTAGTGAAGGAAAAGGACACACGTCGGACGTGCGACTCGACTGCTTCTCCAGAAGTGTCAAGTCTGAGACCACTAGTGAAAATGCTATTTTTCTTTCTTTTCTAATGTAACAGAAAAAAACTACAAATTATATTATCAGCATAACAGTTTGCATGAATAGTAGAATCTTTGAAATTCTAACATTTTAATTTCAGATTTTCTTAGTGTTTGATTGTCCTTGATTGTTGGTAGATCCAATCCATGCAAGAGTCGTCTGAACATAAGCTTTGCTGTAAGAGATAAGACTAAATAAAAACTAACCTTTTTGTACAAAGGCTTCAACATGGTCAGTGTCACAGATTTGCTTAAATTTGACTAGTGACCTAAAAATTCTGCAGAATCTTGAATATTTCTTTGTCACTTTACTTGTCGTAGCTTTTCTTTGCAGCTTAGTTTCCATAATTGTTCTGGGGAGTAAATGATACATTTTGAAACTTTAATAATGTTTACATACTGCATCAACCTGTATCTTTAATTTTAAAAAAGTTAGGAAAATGTGTTTTTTTTTCCAAGGTACGGGGACTTTAAGACGGTGACTTAAGTTTCTCTCCGAGCTATCTGTCATCTTAATAAATGTGACTGGTGAGAAGTAGGAAAAGTAAGACA